TCTTTATTAGTTTATTCTCTCACTGCTATAAAGAAATACCTGAGACTGGGTAATTTATAGAGAGAAAGAGGTTTAATTGGTTAAGGGTTCTGCAGGCTATACAGCAAGGACAGTTGCATCTGTTAGGCTTCTTGAGAGACCTCAGGGAACTTACAATCATGGCAGAAGGTAAAGGGGAGGTGAAGCATCTTTCATGTCCGAAGAAGGAGGAAAAGAGCAGGGAGGTGCTACATACTTTTAAACAACTAGATCTCTCAAGAACTCACTGCCATGACAGAAGCACCAAGGGAGATGCTGCTAAACCATGAGAAACTGCTCCCACAATCCATCACCTCCCAGCAGGCCTCCAATGTTGGGAATTGCAACTGAACATGAGGTCTGAGCAGGGAAACAGATTCAAACCACACCACTACCCCAACACTGCTCCAACACTTTTGAAAGATTTTTTTCTGGTCTCAAGACTTTTTCTCTGACCATCCATCACTAACCCTGTACCTCACCATTACCACCCCACCACTGCACCCCATTATTTCTCTCTTCCCTGTCCACCCCTGTGACCCTCACCAGCACCAGGAGGCTGAAGCCCAGGGACAGCAGGAGAAGGCAGGTCCCAGAGTGGAGATACTGCAGGAAGGACAGGGAAGGAGGTGGCCATGCAAGAGGATGGGGTGTCAGGATGAGGAAGGCACAGGACATGACAGAAATGGGAAGAGGAGAGGGCCCAGGGGAGCTGTCTAGAGATGAGGGCTGAGCATAGGGGATGCCAAGAAAGGGCAGGATAGGAAGGATTTCAGGATAGGGGATGCCCAGGCCTTGGACCTAGGGTCCAGCACAGGTCCTCAGTCACACAGGCCCCTCACACCACTGGGGACCGCCAAACACACACACATACACACAAACACACACACACACACACACACACACACACACGGAGAGAGAGAGAGAGAGAGAGAGAGAGAGAGAGAGCAAGATAGGAGAAGATGGTGGTATGTGAGGTTCCACGGTCAGAGCGGGGGGAAGGAGCAGAAGGACACAGGGAGTTGGGGGCAGCCAGGCCCCTCATAGGCTCACACTCATCTGTGAAAGCAGGTTAAGTTATGGTCTCCCTTTTAAGACTTTCTTAAATAGTCCATGTTTTTCCTCCTTCCTGTTCCTGGGCCACTGAGGACTGTATCTCCCCTGAAGACTAGGACCACAGAGGCCAGCCCCTGAACCCTCAGAGAGGGATCACCACAGTCCATACTGGGGTCACAGAAATGACCAAAACCAGGAGCCCTGGAGCTACAGCAACAGGGGATATACGAGAATTCCCTCATTGCAGATAGACAGAGGCACTGTCTCAGAAAGAAGCTCCATCCTTAGACCACAGCTACCACACCTCCTGGGCTTCACACTTTAAAGGTCCCTCATGGGCCCTCCTCTGACTCTATCCCTTCCTGTGGGACTGGGAATCTCCAGGGCCAAAGGTGGTGTGCTCACCCCAAGCCATATCTGCCCTTCTAGACCACCCTCTGGGCACCTAGGAGCCCAGATCATTCAGCCAAGCAGCTATGTACCTCTCTTCCCTGGGCCTGTACTCTGGGTGGCAGACCCTGCTGCTGCCATGCACACCCGATGCCTAAGTAGAAGGCATGGGCAGGGGTTGGGGGGTGAATGGAGGGTGTGGGCCATACCAGAGGTGTCCCCATGTGTGCCCCAGAGTCCTCAAGGTGCAAGACTGAGCTGGGAGAGGGGAGCAAAGAGGAGTGGGCTCAAGAGGAACTAGCTCAGGCCTCTGCAAACTTTGGGGAGTGGGCCTGTCTCTGGGATCTTCTGCTTGTCTTACCTTTTCTAAGATCATGTTCCTTCTCTCTCTCTAAGCACTTGAGGTCTTCATACCTCATTGACATCCTTGGCCCAAGTGGTCTCTGCAGCTGTGAGAGCTGAGATGGAGGCAGGGAAAGGACTCCAAGGGGGAGAGCAAGATAAGGGCTGGAGGTAGACGTGGAGCTGGTTTTGAAGTAGGCAATGAGGATCCAGTGGATATCAAGCTAGGCATTGGGACTAGGAGTGGGGCTGAGGCTGGGTTTGCAGGTGAGGGTGAAACAGGGATTACAACTGTTGTATCTGGGGTTAGGATGGGGTTGACGTACTTGGGGCTAAAAATGAGATTGGGTGTTGAGGTAACATTGTACACAGGGCTTCTCTGGGGTTGGGTCTGAGTTTGGGACTGAGACTGCAAATGTGGTGGGACCGAGCGTGGGGGTGTAGTACAGCTAGCTGGAGCTGCAATGGGGACAGAGGTTGAATTTAGGGATGATATTAGAGCTGGCCTCAGGACTGGAATTGGGGCTGGAACTGGGATTGTACTGGTTTGGGGCTCTCCAATCCAATCTGGAAGTCAGCAGAGAGATCGTTTCAATCTCCTCCAATGACTAATTCAATCTGTGCTCTATCTTTCCAGTTATTTCCACCTGTAACACACAGTTGCCCTCCCTGTACTTTCCCTAATGTCCTCCCTGCCTCCCTAGTCCCATTACCTGTATAATACTGGAGAATGTAATTGTTGGCTTTCTTAGGTAGCACAGTTACCAGGTCAGGAAATTCTGGAGGGAACTCCCGTGTATTGGTTCTCCTGCTCTGCTCCCCTCTACCTCCTGTGGCCCTGGTAGAACTGTGATCTAATGGTCCTGCTGGGTGGCTTCTCTTCCATGATCCAAAACCTTTCAGGCCCAGGGAAGAGAGGCACACAGCTGCTTGGGTGGGTGATCTCGGTGGATGTTCTTTCCTTTTGTGCCTCCAGGCCTCAGAGTGGTGATGTCTCTGCCGTTCTTAGCCACAGGGACGCCACCAACTTTGTCAGCTTCCTCAGTCCTGCTCACACTCTGTAAATGTCATTCAACTCTTTTCAATAAACCCTTTTGTGGCCAAGCACCGCAGCTCACACATGTAAACCCAGCAGTTTGGGAAGCCAAGGAAGGACAATCGCTTGAGCCCAGGAGGTTGAAATCAGCCTGGGCAACATCGTGAGACCCTAGCTCTACAAAAAAAATAAACTTAGCCAGGCATGGTGGGAGCACACACCTAGAATCCCAGCTACTTGGGAGGCTGAGGAGAGAGGATTGCTTAAGCCCAGGAGTTCAGCACTGCAGTGAGCTATGATCACACCACTGCATTCTAACCTGGGTGACAGCAAGAACCTGTCTCTCTCTCTATATATATATATTTCCAAATGGAGTTTATTCTTTCTGTGTACCATAGTAAACATTTATAATTTTATTTAAAAGGGTTTTTTTTAAAAAAAAAAAAATCAGTTCCACCAAGATACAGGTGTCAAAACAAAAGGATTTATTTCTCTCTCTCTCTCTCTCTCTCTCTCTCTCTCTATATATATATATATATATATAGATAAATATATATATATATTTCTCCATTTGGAAATCTATCAGGCTTCTCAAACTCAGTATGTCCGAAACAAAGCTTCTCATCTTCCCATCCCACCACAAAACCAGCTTCTCACACAGTCTTCCCGGTCTTAATTAACTGGGACACCATACTTCTAGGTTTTCAAGCCCCAAACCTGGAATTATCCTTGACTCTCTCATTCTCTCAAACCCCTCAACCAACCCATCAGCAAATCCTGACAGCTAATTGAAACATTCCTATATGCCAGGGAGTTTTCTGGATATAGTAAAACAGCAATGAATGGGTCCTGCCGTCGCTTAACTTAATAAACTGATTCTTTTTTTTTTCCGGAAATGGAATCTTGCTGTTGCCCAGGCTGGAGTACAGTGGCGCCACCTCAGCTCACTGCAACCTCTACCTCCTGGGTTCAAGCAATTCTCCCACCTCAGCCTCCTGAGTAGCTGGGATTACAGGAGCCTGCCAGCACACCTGGCTGATTTTTTTTTTTGTAGAGACAGAGTTTCACCATGTTGGTCAGGCTAGCCTCAAACACCTGACCTCAGGTGATCTGCCCACCTCAGCCTCCCAAAGTGCTGGAATTACAGGCGTAAGCCACCATGCCCAGCCTATAAGCTGTATCTTAATAGCTGAGATGCTTCCCCTGGTATGTTGGATTGATTGAAAAATAAAAATCTCTACCCCTCTCTATATTCATTCTCTCCACAGTATGACTTTGTAGTTCCCCCCCCAAAAGGTGGAATCTATTTCTCTGATCCTTGAATCTGGGCAGACTTGTAATCTGCTTTTGCCAATAGGATGCAGCAGAAATGATGCTTCAGTTCCAAGCAAGACTCTTTCAGTTTCTCTCTTGGACCCCTACCCAACCATTCTGTGAACAAAGCCAGGCTAGGCTAATGTGGCCCAATCATCCCCATTGTCCCAGCCCAGAGCCAGCCAAATGTCAGACATGGAAGCAAGGCTACCCTAGACCAGCCAACCCTAAGCCAACCCCCCAGCTGACCACAGATGCATGAACAAGCCCAGGCAAGATGACCCGAACCTGGCCAGACCAGACCTATAGCCTCTTGAGCTGTAATCAATGCTTCTTATATAAGCCCTGAGCTTTGGAGTGGTTTGTTACACACCAGTTGCTAACCAATACACCTGGGGATCTTATCTTCATCTCCCAACAAATCTGCTTTGGATCTTCAGAGAAATTAAACAATGGCTTTTCCTACTCATCCTAAGTTTATGCCATCTTTAAGTGACAGAAAAGATTTGAACTGAAATCTATATGAGAAGAAAATGCTGTTTTCCCAAGAACATAGGACTGTCAAAGGCTTCACCTGGCCTCTCCACTCTGCCGTTTTTAGATTGCCAAAAATCAAGCAACGCAAAATATGCAGGTTGTCACGAGAGTATATACTGTATGATTTCATTTACTTGAAGTTCTAGAAGCTCTAGAAGAGGCAAGGCCAATAAATAGTGAAAGAAAGCAGACCCCCTGTTGCCTGGGAACAGGGAAGAGGTTAGACTGCACAGCAGTGTGAGGACTGGGAGGGTGATGGCAATGTTCTCTTTTGCCACTGGAGTGGTAGTCACCTAGGCATCATCTCTACTCTTTGAAAGAGCGCATTTTTATTATGTAAAAATTATACCTTAAGGAAGTTGACTTTCAAAAGTTGAAAAACAAAAGCTTAGGAACTCTATATCATCTTTGTAAAATTAAGGAGAAAAAAATTCAAAATGTTGGCAGCGCTTCCAATCTTCCAGGGCTTATTCCTCTCCCAGAGCAGTCTTGTGGAGAGGTCCTGGGAAGAATCCTCCTCCCACCACAATTTCCACGGCTGGGTGGTCCAGCAAAAGGCAGCTCAGTGACTATCCTGACTCGCCTGGGTCAGGCCAGCCTCGCAGACCCAGTGGTAGGACCTCTGGCACACGTCGTCATTCCACCGGCCATCTGGGTGGAAGTGGGCACAGTCCTCGCCTCCGCCCAGCCCGTGTCCCTGCCAGTCATCTGGCTGGCCTGGCTTCCAGTTCCTGAGGGGAGAGGACAACAGCAAGCTAGGAAGGGTAGATGGAGTAAAATTCAGTTCAGGGGAGGAGAAGCTGCCAGTCAGAATCCCAGGGGGCAGTGCTGACGGAGGATGTTGGCACGGAAAGCCGGGGTGTACTCACTGGAAGCCGGACGAATAGTCAGTTCCATCCACCCACTTCCAGACTCCTTCGGGATCACTGAGGCCCATCCAGGTGTATGCAGAGCCCAGATGTGCCTGGACAAAATTCTGGGGTGACAGAAGAGCAGTGGTGATTTCCCATCCTAGCCAATTTTTTGAACTAGGGATTCTAAACTTTAGCTCTTCATTAAATCAACTGAGGAGTTTGGGGATGTTTCTCTTGATGCTCAGGCCTATTAAATCTGAGGGTGTAGCAGAGATGACAGTCATTCTGGAAGCTCCCAGATAATTCCAATGTGCTGCCAAGATTAAGCACCGTTTCCCTACATGTGATGTGTCCTAGGAACTGAGTACCAGAAGCCTCACCTGTTCCTCCCTGGAGTTAATGACAACCAGGTGCGTGTTCTCCAGCTGGCAGTACCTCTCAGCCTCGGGCCAGGTCTTCCCGGAGCGAGAGAACCAGTAGCAGCTGCCTTGGTGCTCCACCCAGTTGATGGGACAGCAGGTCCTCTCGGTGGTGGCTGAGTGGGGCAAAATAGGGTGGAGAGGCTGAGGTGCTGCCCAGTGGGCTGTGGGCAGAAAAGCAGGGTCCCGCCCTCCCCACACCTTCCTCACCATTGTTCTTGAGAATAGCCACCTGGCAGCTCAGTTTGTTCAGGTCTTGCACCAGCTGCTGGACTCGCAGGAGGATTTCAGAATGAACTGGGACACACACAGGTGTGGGGACAGCGGCCCAGGTGTGCTTTCTGCTTATTGTGTTCCTGGAGCTCAGATGCCCCCGTGCAGGGCCAGGCCTAGGAACGTTCCTTCCTGCCCCACCCATCCCCCATAGCATGCCCAGGTGCAGCCATCAAATCTGCTCTGGATTCCTCTGCTCCTGTTTCTCCAGCCTGTTCTCCAGAGAAAGCAGGCTGCCTTTCAAGCTACTGGCTGAAGGGGAGGGCACTTCAGCACCAGCAGTCTGCTGCCACCCCCACGTGTGTCTGAGAGCCTAGCCCCCCACACCCATACTCTGAGGGTCTCTTACCTGTCTGCAGTTCCTGCTTGTGACCCTCCACTTCAGCTTTCAGAGATGCTATCATTTCCTGCAAGCTGCTCCCTGGAGGACATGGAGACTCGGCTTAGAGGTCAGCTTCTTCCACCCCGGCCCGGGCCCAGCCTAGAGCCCCATCCAAGCCAGGCTCACCCTGGGAAGTCAGTGCCTGTATCTCAACCACAGTGTTGGAGGTGAGGTTGCTAAAATCTATTCTCAGAGTCACCAGGTCCCTCTGAAATTTGAATCTGCTGCCATCCCTACCTGTGTCTGAGAGCCTTGCCCCCAACACCCATACTCGGAGGGTCTCTCACGTGTCTGCAGTTCCTGCTTGTGACCCTCCACTTCAGCTTTCAGAGATGCTATCGTTTCTTGCAAGCTGCTCCCTGGAGGACATGGAGACTCAGCTTAGGGGTCAGCTTCCTCCTCCCCGGCCCAGGCCCAGCCCAGAGCCCCATCCAAGCCAGGCTCACCCTGGGAAGTCAGTGCCTGTATCTCAGCCAGAGTGTTGGAGGTGAAGTTGCTAAAATCTGTTCTCAGAGTCACCAGGTCCCTCTGAAATTTGGAATCTAGACAGGTGGATGGGAAGATCAGAGCTGGGATTCATTGGGTCCTCTGTACCAGCACCGAGCAGGGCCTTCCATAAGCATTGCCTCGTTGGGTCCTCGCGGCAACCCCGTGGGGCCGGCACTATTATTGTCCAGTATTGCAGATGATGAGACTAAGCCTCTGAGAGGTGAAGTAATTTGAGTACATAACCCAGCTAATGAGTGACAGAGCCAGCGGCCATCTGATTATGGGTCCATCAACTCTCTCCATCAGTGCCCCCACCACTGTTCCCATCCATCACTCCATCAGTGCTTCAGTGGCCCCGAGATTACCCCCATGGCTGTTGGTGGCATTGCCATCACCATGGCCCACTGTCATCTCCACAGCTGCCCCCAGCACTGTGCCCTGCCTTGCTCCTACTGTGGGTCTCACCATTGCCCCACCACTGCCCTGCTGTAGCACCCCATTATTTCTCTCTTCCCTGTCCACCCCTGTGACCCTCACTTTGGGATCCAACCACACAGATGATGACCAGCAGCAGGAGGCCGAGGCCCAGGGCCAGCAGGAGGCGCCAGAGCCCAGAGCGGAGACGCTGCAGGAGGGACTGGGGAGGAGGCAGCCCTGCAAGACGAGAGGGTGTCAGGATGCAGAGGGTCCAGACATGACAGAGACAGGGCGAGGAGAGGCCCAGGGAGCTGTCTAGCCAGGAGGGCTGGGCACAGGGGACGCCAGGGGAGGACCGGAAGAGGTGGATTTCAGGGCGGGGGATGCCCAGGCCTTGGACCTCAGGGACCAGCACAAGTTCTCAGTCACACAGGCCACTCCCACCCCTGGGGACCCACGTGCACACACACAGATGGGGGGCGATAGCAATATGAGGGGTCCCATGGTCAGAGCTGGGGGCGGAGGCAGGAGGACACAGGGAGAGCTGGGGGTAGCCAGGCCCTTCACAAGCTCAGGCTCACCTACCTGCTGGACAGTCAGGTTCACAAATGAGTTTCCTCCAAACCCAACCACTTATCTTCCCCTCTACCAATGCACAGCTCTCGTCCCCACCCCACAGAGCATGAGAAGCTGGGTCCACTGTGATCTTCCCTGTCCCAGTCTTTCTGGGGACCTTGCATCCTCCTCACACTGAGCCCATCAGAGGCTGGAGCCTGGGTCTCAGCATGGGGACCCACGTGGTGGAGGGACAGAAATGACAGGAGAAATCCTTCTAGACATATAAAGAGGGCATTTTAGTAGAGTTTCCCCTTTCCTCTTACCATTTCTAAACCCCTGGACTTTCTCCTCACTCTCCAAGTGCTGCAAGTTTTCATAATTCATTGTCATGCTTGGGCCAACACGGCTCTGAGGCTGTCACAGCTGAAATGGAGGCAGGGCCAGTGGCCAGGCTGGGGTGGAGCCGGGGCATAGGAGGTTGGGACTAGGTTGGAGCCGAGGGCAGCGCTGAAGTTGAGTTGGGAGAAGAGGCTCAGATTGAGAAGGAGCCCAGGGTTAAGGCTAAGATGGAAATGGGCCTGGGTTTGCAGCCAAGTTAGAAGTGGGATCGAGTTGAGTTTGGGAGTGAAACTGGAGGGTAAAATGAGAGCTAAATGTATTGCCAGGACTGCCCAGTGGGCCAGTAATTGGGCAGGACTTGAAGTCATGTCTCATGCTAGGACTGGGGTCAGTATCCATGTTGGAGCCATAGATGAAACTGGGGTTAACTTTGGTGCTGAATTTGGAAATAGAATACAGTTGAGGTTTTGGCTTTGGGCTGGCATTAAGATTCAAGTTGAATCTGGGGTTAAAATAGGAGCTTGGTGGTGGCAGTGCGGGGTGGGGGGCAGGTGTAGTGGCTCACCCCTGTAATCCCAGCACTTTGGGAGGCCAACACAGACAGATCACTTCAGGTCAGGAGTTTGAGACCAGCCTGGCCAACATGGTGAAACCCCGTCTCTACTAAAAATACAAAAATTAGCTGGGTGTGGTGGCGCATGCCTGTAATCCCAACTACTCGGGAGGCTGAGGCAGGAGAATCACTTGAACCCAGGAGGCAGAGTTTGCAGTGAGCTGAGATCGTGTCACTGCACTCCAACCTGGGTGACAGAGTGAGACTCAGTATCAAAAAAAAGTAGGAGCTGGGGTTAGTATTGGGGTTAGGGCATGGCTGGGCTGGGGCGGAAGATAGGATGAAAATGGGCCACCCATGAGGCTGAGTTTGAGAGTTAGTTTATTTTTATTTTTATTTTTTTGAGATGGAGTTTCACTCTTGTCGCCCAGGCTGGAGTGCAGTGGCACAGTCTTGACTCACTGCAACCTCTGCCTCCTGGGTTCAAGCGATTCTCCTGCCTCAGCCTCCCAGAGTCTTAATTTATAACAGGGGATTGTGGCTGCCATAACCCAATCTAGAATCCAGTGAAGGGAATAGAGTCTTAAATCTCCACATAGTAATTAAATCCCACACTGCCCTCTGGTATTTATTTTGATTTAGTCCCACCCAAGGCCCAAAGTGCCCCTCTCCCTGCTTCCTCTGATATTCCCTGTCCCCTGGGCCTCAGCAGCCCCTGCAGCACCATTACCTGTGGGGGGGTCTGGAGGCTGTGATTCCCACCTTGGTTGTTCAGCAAGGACCAGAGCTGGGACGTCACTCAGAGCTGGAAGCACTGAGTCCTGGAGAGCTGGGGTAGGGGTGACTGGAGTCCCGCTGGTCTTGTGTCTGAAATCCCAGGAACCTTATAATCTGGGACATCCCATTTCCTCAACATTTCCTCCAGTAAGTGAGAATGTACTGGAATTGGAACACACAGCAGTCGTGTGTGGGTGTGGGTTTGAGGCCAGCTCTGCTCTCCTCCTCCAGGACATGCCACTTCCTTTCCTCGTTTTTGGAGCGCCTCTAACTTCCTCATTTTTACCATCTGGGAGCAGGGCTGGATCAAAGGCAGTCAGAGGTGCAAGCTGCTGTTTCTTCTCTACCCCACACTTCCTTTTACTTCCTGCCTTTAAATTTCCCAGAATTCTTGGGTCTCCATTATCGCGCCCCTGGTCCTAGAGAAGCCCGTTCTGTGCTCTTGCTCAATCCTGGCCTGAGTCCCTAGCATCAGCATCCTCTGGGTCCCAGTCACTAAGCTGCCCAGCTCTGGCCTCATTCGCCTCACTCCACTCGGAAGGAGGGAAGAGGGTGACAGAGAATAGAACTTCTTGGCCAGAATGGGAAGGGAGAAGCCAAGGAAAAGAGCAAACTTTTATTGAGTATTTAATCTGTAATGGCATTATGCCAGATGCTTACCTTACATAACCATCCCCCCACCCCCTGCAAGCATCTGGGGAGGCATTTTGGATGATGGACTAAAGCTCAGGGTTGGAGATCACACACAGCTTGTAAGAGAGAAAGTCTGGCACCCCGGTCTGGCTCTCGGCACGTGCACTGTCTTCATGAACAGGATTCCGTTTCATCCCGTGACCCCTGCCAAGCCCCTAAGGGAGTTGCCCCAAATCCAGGTGCACATCCCTTTCAGTAGGAAGGAACCAGAGTATCTTACAAGGTGGAGAAGGAGAAGAAATACATTTTAGATTATATTTTCTATGTACATGGGATTGTGTTCTGCTATGTGCTTTTTTAGGAGTTAACAATCTATCAGGAACATTTCTCTGCATCAGTTTACCAAATGTACTTGATCTACCTGCGCGCATTTCATCATAGGCACCATAATTTATTTATTTAGCACTTCTCTATTGACAGAAATCAGAAATTTAGGTTGTTTCCTTTTTTTTTTTTTTTTTGAGACAGAGTCTCACTTTCTCACCCAGGCTGGAGTGCAGTGGCACGCTCTCAGCTCACTGCAACCTCCACCTCCTGGGTTCAAACGATTCTCATGTCTCAGCCTCCCGAGGAGCTGGGATTACAGGCACCTGCCACCACGCCTGGCTAATTTTTGTATTTTTAGTAGAGATGAGGTTTCACCATGTTGGCCAGGCTGGTCTCAAACTTCTGACCTCAGATCATCTGCCTCGCCTCAGCCTCCCAAAATGCTGGAATTACAGACATGAGCCACCGCGACTGACCAGGTTGTTTCAGTTTTGTTTTTATTTGGTATTTGGTATTTTGATTAGTATATGTTGTAGGTTAGGTTTTCAGAAGCCAAGGTTGAGGCTGAATTTGGGGTGCAAGCTGTTCGTTAGGGATTAGCACTTGGAAAAGAAAAGTGGATGAAATAGCACTGCGCAGAGGGAGAAGCCCAACACTTTGGAGACCTTCAACCAAACCAACACGGAGCTTTGGGAGTTCAAACAGTGCTGCCCCTGGGAGCTGTCCAGCATCGGCCTGACACCGGGCCTGTAGAGCACCACCTCCTTCAGTCACTGGTGGTCAACCCCAACATGGGCGTGACCTTGGGAAGCGGCTCTCTGTGGGTTACACTCCCCACAGTGGGACACCGTATCCTTCCCAAAAGGGGGATGTGGGTAGCTCACATATGTGTCTACCACAGTCTTGCTGTATATTCACATATTAATTTGGGGTTAATCAACACTTTGACATTGTTGAATCTTCCATGAAAAAACATGATGAGCCAGACGCAGTGGCTCACACCTGTAATCCCAGCACTTTGGGAGGCCAAGGTAGGCGGATAACAAGGCCAGGAGATCGAGCCAATCCTGGCCAACATGGTGAAATCCAGTGTCTAATAAAATACAAAAAATTAGCCAGGCATGGTAGTGCGTGCCTGTAGTCCCAGCTACTCAGGAGGCTGAGGTAGGGAAATCACTTAAACCTGAGAGACAGAGATTGCAGTGAGCTGAAATCACACCACGACACTCCAGCCTGGCGACAGAGCGATACTCCATCTCAAAAAAAAAAAGAAAAAGAAGAAAAGAACATGATATTTCTCCATTCACCCTTTTTTTTTTTTTTTTTTCTGAATCTGGTTCAGTGGGTTTGAAGCTTCTTCTTCCTCTTTTTTTTTTTTTTTTTTTTACTTTAAGTTCTGGTATACAATGTGCTGAATGTGCAGGTTTGTTACCTACGTATACATGTGCCACGGTGGTTTGCTGCACCTTTCAACCCATCATCTAGGTCTTAAGCCCTGCATGCATTAGGAATGCGTCCTAATGCTCTCCCTTCCCTTTCCCCTTACCCCCTCGACAGGCCCTGGTGTGTGGTGTTCCCCTGCCTGAGTCCACGTGTTCTCAATGTTCAACTCCCACTTATGAGTGAGAACATGCAGTGTTTGGTTTTGTTTCTGTGTTAGTTTACTGAGGATGATGGTTTCCAGCTTCATCCATGTCTCTGCAAAGGACATGAACTCATTCTTTTTTATGGCTGCATAGTATTCCATGGTATATATGTACCACAATTTCTTTATCCAGTCTGTCATTGATGGACATTGGGTTGGTTCTTTGCTATTGTAAATAGTGCTGCAATAAAGCTATCATTCACTGTTATGTGCATTTATTCATCTATTCAAATACTTATTGAGCGTGTATGGCATGCCAAGCAGTCTCCTTCCCAAGAGGCAGAGTTCAGGAGTTCAAAAGTGAACAGACAAAAAAGGCCTGTCTTCATAGAGCTTACCTTCCAGTGGGTGATCAATAAAGAAAATAAATGAATAAAATATACATAAGTCAGAGGCCGGGTGTAGTGGCTCACATCTGTAATCCCAGCACTTTGGGAGGCTGAGGAGGGCAGACCACAAGTTCAAGAGATCGAGACCATCCAACATGGTGAAACCCCATCTCTACCAAAAATGCAAAAATTAGGTAGGTGTGGTGGTGGGCGCCTGTAGTCCCAGTTACTCAGGAGGCTGAGGCACGAGAATCACTTGAACTTGGGAGGCAGAGGTTGCCGTTAGCCAAGATCACCCCACTGCACTCTAGCCTGGTGACAGAGCAAGACTCCATCTCCTAATATATGGCAATATATATTATATCCCTGCTCTTTTTCCCTAAAGCACTCACATGGCAATAGTGCTTTGGGGAAAAAGAGCAGGGATATGAGATAGGGTCGATTTTTAATGTCCCTCAAGTATAGGACATATATTAGTCCATTCTCACAGTGCTCTAAATAAATACCTAAGACTTGGTAGTTTATCAAGGAAAGGGGTTTAACTGCCTCATGGTTCTGCAGGATGTTCAGGAAGCATGGTGCCCGCCTCTGCTCAACTTCTGGGGAGGCCTCAGGAAATTTACAATCATGGTGAAAGATGAAGGGGAAGCAGGCACCTCACGTTTTAAGAACAGGAGCAAGAGAAAGAGAGGGCATCAGATTTTAAATGACGAGATCTCACAAGAACTCCCTATCATGAGAACAGCCCCAAGGAGATGGTGCTTAGCCATTCATGAGAAATCCACACCATAATCCAGTCACCTCCTACAAGGCTCCACCTCCAACATTGAGGATTACAATTCAACATGAGATTTGGGTGGGGACACAGATCCAAACCATACCAAGATGTCAAGAAAGGCCTCACTGGGAAGGTGATATCTGAGCAAAGTCTGAAGAAGGTAAGGAAGCAAGTCACAAGGGAGTTCTAGCAGGAAGAGTGCTCCAGGGAGAGGGCAGGGCAAGGGCAAAGGCCCTGAGGTGGGAGAAGATCTGGTGTGTATGTGGATCATCCATTTGACAGAGTTGCCAGAGATTTTACAGAGAAGTGAGTCAGGAAGGAGAAGAGTAGACGAGCGACAGGGGAAAATGTGGGCCTTATTGGCTGTTATCAAGGATTTGTTTTTACCCTGAGTCAGAGATGTAGACTTTGAAGGTGTTGGAGCAGAGGAATGGCATAACCTGACTTACATGTTAACTGTAACAGTGTGGCATTTGTGTTGTGAATTTGATGAAGAAGAACAAGCTGGAAACAGGGAGTCTAGTTAAGGAGCTGCCATAACATCAGGGTGAGAAATGAGGTCGTGAGAAGTGTTGTGATTTTGGATATATTGTGAAGGTGGAACACACAGAATTTCGCTGATAAATTGCTTGTGGGTTTCACATACAAAAAAAAATAGTTCTCCTTCTAGTCCCCAAAATAAACATTGAGCATTTTCTATAAATTGCTGACTCCCTAGGAAAAACAACTCTATCTCTGACATTTGCAATGCTGACGCCTGGATGTGTCATGACCTTTGTGAATATAAAAATCATGTGAGAAAAGCGCTGGGTTTTGCCATCATGAGCAGACTGATAAAACTTATTAACAATGGCAATCTTGCAGAATTTCCCTTTCAATACCTGTTGTGCTTTTAGTTTGGCAAGCCTGTTCTCCTAAAGTCTGATTCCTTTGCCAGATCTTGGCAAGCAATCTCCTTTTCTCTCCTAAATGCTTCTGTCCCTGAGACCCCTTTTCACAGTTGACAATGATCGTTTCCTTCTTCCACCACATTTTCTGTGAATTCTTTTTTTAAGAAAGAAAGAAGAAGAGAAAGGAAGAAAGAAAGAAAAGAAAGAATGGCTTTAATCACTGTCTTAAGTATACAAAAGAGTGATTTAATTAAATATACGCTGGCAAGGTTGAAAGTTACTCCTAATGTTGTTAGCTATAAAAACTAGTTGGTACATAACAAAACAATGAGAGGAAAAAACAATCCCTTTGAAACAAAATTCTCGAATAAAGAATGTTCACAGTGGTTTGTATCAATGGTATGCATTTTATGACAAGACCATGTACAGATTCAGAGCACCCTCGGGCTCTCTTTATGTCCTAAAGAAAATGAGCATTGGCTGGGCGCAGTGGCTCAAGCCTGTAATCCCAGCACTTTGGGAGGCCGAGGCAGGTGGATCACGAGGTCAAGAAATCGAGATCATCCTGGTCAACATGGTGAAACCCCGTCTCTACTAAAAATACAAAAAATTAGCTGGG